TAGTGCAATCACATCTCATCTATAGTGTGGTAGCCAGAACTGCACATTGTTCTCCAGCTATGGCCTAACCAAACTGCTGTACAACCCCAACATAACCGCCCTGCTGTTATAATCTATGCCTCAATTGATAAAAACAAGTGTCCCGTCAGGGAGGAGCCAAAGGCAAGCTGGCTTTCAGAGGCTACCACCAAATTTGCCACCAGTTTGGGACAATTGGAAGACACCTCCCTTGACCTGACAAGTAGGTCACCACAATTTCAAATCTTGCCTGTCGGCTGAGAAGACAGGTGATTGGTGTATTAAGACCCTCAAATGTCCATTTAATTGATGAGTGAAGGGCCTTAGCTTGAGAAGGCCATTGAATCTGCTGCTCGGAACGCTTTGTGAGTTGGTGAGAAGGGAGTGAGATTCTTGCCAGGGTCAACTCACCCAATTGCACCCCCTCCTCACAATGGGAAGGACTGCACCTACTTCTTCTATAAATTGAGGAATTGTTTGAACAATAGGAAGGATGTGCTTGCACTGGAGGGGGTGCAGAAGATCTTCACCGGGGTGCTGCCTGGGATGGAGCATTTCTGTGATGAAGAGAGGCTGGATAGGCTCGGGTTGTTTTCGTTGGAGCAGAGAAGGCGGAGGGGGACCCTGCTTGAGATGTATAAAATTACGAGGGGCATGGACAGGGTGGATAGAAAGCAGCTGTTCCCCTTAGTTGAAGGGTCAAAATATGATGAAAAGCAAGGGGTATAGAGAGGATTTAAGGGAAACCTTTTCACCCAGAGGGTGGTGGAAATTTGGAATGCACTGCCTGGGATGGTAGTTGAGGTAGGAAACCTCTCAACCTTTAAAAAGTACTTGGATGAGCTCTTGAAATTGTCAAAACTTTCAAGGCTATTGGCCTAGTTGGGGAACATGGGAATAGTATAGGCAGTAGTGTATTTTTAGCAGTACAGACTTGATGGATCGAAGGTCCTCTTTTGTACCGTATGATCCTATGATTCTTCCCCAGCCCCAATCCTCCACCACCATGTCCCTGGGTTCTGAACTCCTTGGTCATTGGAAACATTCTCCCTGTGTTTATATGTTTCTATGAGATCTTCTAAACTCCAGTGAACATAATCTTAATCGACCCACTCTCTCTTCACCTCACAAGGAGAATTTTACAAGTTACAACCTATTCTCTCTCCACTGGATTCCCAAGGGGCAAGCTGGGGTCTTGAGGATGAAAGTATCACTGATCTTTGATTGGCCAGCAGCTTCTGGTCACCAGGGTTGCCAGTAATCTATCTAGAGTCAAAGACTCTGCTTCTACCAATGCACTGATTTGTGAGATAGCAGGACTGATGGACGAAGAGAGAGTGGGTCGATTAAGATTATGTTCACTGGAGTTTAGAAGATCTCATAGAAACAAATAAACACAGGGAGAATGTTTCCAATGACCAAGGAGTTCAGAACCCAGGGGTCACAGCCTAAAAATACAGGCTAGGCCATTTGGGACTGAGATGAGAAGAAATTTCTTCACCCAGAGGGTGGTGAGCCTGTGGAATTCTCTGCCACAGAAAGCAGTTGAGGTCAAAATATTGAATGTTTCCAAGAAGGAGTTTGATCTCTTTAGCCCTAGGACATATATGTAAGGGTATGGGGAGAAAGCAGGACCATGGCACTGAATTGGATGATCAGTCATGACCGTATTGAATGGCACAGCAGGCTTGAAGGGCTGAATGGCCTACTCCTGCTCCAATTTTCACCATAGTCCCTGAGGACCACACGGCTGCTCTGTCATTAGAAAGAGAGAGAGAGTGGTTTAACCTGAAGGTCTGCATATCGGACAAGGGGAGAAAGACAGTCCTTGATGGTAACCTCAGCTGGTGCGGGCATTGAACCCACACTGTTGGCATCACTCTGCATCACATACCAGCCTTCCAGCCAACTGACAATGTATGGGCTGAGAGAGCGGGAACGGGGAACTGTGTTGGATGATCAGCCATGATCATACTGAATTGTGGGGCAGGCCCAAAGGGCCGAATGGCCTACTCCTGCTCCCATTTTCTACATTTCACGACCATTTCAAGAAAAGAGTTCCAAAGACTCACTACAGAAAAAAAATTCTCTGCATTTTTGTCGTAAATGGATGATGTCTGATTTTTAAACAGTGAGCGGTGAGTACTTGATTCTCCCACATCCACCCTGTTAAAACCCCTCAGCATCTTGCATGATTCAATCAAGCCACATCTTATTCTCTCAACTCTAACACATACAAACCTAAACTGTCTAGCCTTTCCTCATTAGACAATCAACCCATTTCAGGTATTAATCTGGGAAACCTTCTCTGACCTGCTTCCAATGCATGTACGTCCTCCCTAAGTAAGGAGATCAGGTAAATACCAACATGAAGTAGCAGGGCTGAATGGCCTGTTTCTGTGCTGTAATTTTGTGTAATTCTAGAGCAAATCTCAGAATCTCCTGGAAGGAAAAAATATAATGGCTTGAATGTTGTCAATGAAGAGGTAATGAGGTTCATTCCAGTTGCCGGACAGTAATTGCTTTTCCCAGCTGGTGACTATTGGCACTAGTTGGTCAAGGGCTGGTTTGCAAACAGTCATTGGCTTTTTCTAAGATAACAAGGTGCAGAGCTGGATGAACACAGCAGGCCAAGCAGCATCAGAGGAGCAGGAAAGCTGACGTTTCGGGCCTAGACTCTTCTTCAGAAATAAATAGGGAGAGAGGGGGAGGCGGATAGAAGATGGATAGAGGAGAAGGTAGGTGGAGAGGAAACAGACAGGTCAAAGAGGCAGGGATGGAGCCAGTAAAGGTGAGTGTAGGTAGGGGGATGCGGTCTCCTGCAGTTTTGGGCCTCCTGCAGTGCCACAACGATGCCACCTGAAGGTTGCAGGAATAGCAACTCATATTCCACTTGGGAATCCTGCAGCCCAATGGTATCAATGTGGATTTCACAAGCTTCAAAATCTCCCCACCCCCTACCTCATCCCAAAACCAGCCCAGCTCGTCCCCGCCTCCCTAATCTGTCCTTCCTCCCACATATCCCCTCCTCCCACCTCAAGCCCCACCCCCATCTCCTACCTATTAATCTCATCCTGCCCCCTTGACCTGTCCGTCCTCCCTGGACTGACCTATCTCCTCCCTAACTCCCTACCTACACTCACCTTTCCTGGCTCCATCCCCACCTCTTTGACCTGTCTGTCTCCTCTCCACCTATCTTCTCCTCTATCCATCTTCTATCCGCCTCCCCTTCTCTCCCTATTTATTTCAGAACCCCCTTCCCCTCCCACATTTCTGAAGAAGGGTCTAGGTCTGAAACGTCAGCCTTCCTGCTCCTCTGATGCTGCTTGGCCTGCTGTGTTCATCCAGCTCTACACCTTGTTATCTCAGATTCTCCAGCACCTGCAGTTCCTACTATCTCTGATTAGCTTTTTCTAGCTGACCTGAAGCATCAACTCTCCTGGTCCTCTGATGCTGCATGGCCTGCAGTGTTCCTCCAGCTCCACACTGTGTTGTTTCAAAGTTATCATTTGTTGTTTCTTGTTTATCGGCCTTTTAAAGCCTCTCCCATCCATAACATTTAAAAATTCAAATAAACGTGTTGTTTTTTATGGAATGTGAGCATCCATAATGACTTGAGCTGAGTGGCCATTTTAGAGGGTGGTTTTGAGTCGACCACATTGCTATGGATCTGGAGTCACGTAGCGACAAACCGGGTAAGGATGGAAGAATTCATTTCCTAAAAGACATTAGTGGACAGACAAGATTTTTTTCAAAAAAAAATCACCACCAGGCATGCTTTTAGCTCCAAACTCAGTAAACCGAAACAGAAATTGCAGGGAAAAAAAAACTCGGAGGGTCTGGCAGCATCTGAGGAGAGAAAGCAGAGTTAACGTTTCAGGTCTATTATTCTGGAGCTCTGGATTGCTAGTCTGGTGACATTATCATTACACTGCCACCTTCACCAAATAAAAACATAAGAAATAGGAGCAGGAGTAGGCCATCTGGCCCATCGAGTCTGCTCTGCCATTCAATAAGATCATGGCTGATCTTTTCATGGACTCAGCTCAACTTACCCACCCCCCTCCCCCACCTGCCCCCCCCCCCCACTTACCATAGTCCTTAATTCCTTTACTGTTTAAAAATCTATTTATCTTTGCTTTAAAAATATTTAATGAGGTAGCCTCAAACACTTCACTGGGCAGGGAATTCCACAGATTCACAACCCTCTGGGTGAAGTTCCTCCTCAACGCAGTCCTAAATCTGCCCCACCCCCTTTACTTAGAGGCTATGCCCCCTAGTCCTAGTTTCACACACCAGTGGAAACAACCTCCCTGCTTCTATCTTATCTATTCCTTTCATAATTTTATATGTTTCTATAATTTGTCCTCCCCACGCGGGGAATTGGTTTGGGTGTGTGGAACTTTGAAATTGGTGCTCCCGGATCCATATGTACGTGTCCCCCACACCGAGACAGAGAGCCCCCCACCTCCCCCACCTCCACTATACTCCAGGAAGGAAAAGGGAGGAGATTTTAACAAAACAGTGAAAGTCATCTGTACCCATCCCCCATACTCTGTAAAAACACAACTGCTCTCAGAGAGATGGCAGGATGGTGAGAGTGAAAGAAAGAGTGAAGGACAGAGAGGAGAAAGAGCAACACAGAAGGAGGAAAGGGAAAGACAAACAGAGCTGGGATAAAAAGAGATGAAGTGATACCGAGGGGGGATCAGAGAGGAAGAGGGAGAGACAGAGAGAGAAGGAACAAGAGAGAGAGAAACTGAGAGTAGAGGAGGGAAGGAGAAACAACAGAGAGGAGGGACAGAGAAAATGGGGGAGAAAAGAAGGGGTAGGAGAGAATGAGAAGGGGAGATAGGGAGAGGAAAGAGAAAAGAGGAGATGAGCAGAGAGAGAGAGAGAGAGAGAAGGAAGTAACAGTCTAGGAACTATCCATTACAGAATTAGCAGCAACTTTTTAGCCAGAGACAAAAGTTAAAACTTACACTTTGAGGGCTGCCCATGTTGGTTTTCGCAGACGTTCCTCTGGAGCCGGTGGAACTCATTCTGTCTGTCTGTCTGTTTGTCTCTGTGTGTCCCAGCTGCTCGGCAATACAGAACCAGAGGCACCTGCCAAAGGAATTTTCTCTCCTACGTAAACAGTCAGGTGGAATTGGGCGGGCCAGCATTGCCACTCAGCACTCGTGCCACAAAGACACGAATACAATCCTGCTGGAGAGCAAGGCAACAATTTAACATCACAGTGCACAGGCTGTGGTGTTCATTCAACATGGAGTGGAACTCGCTCGATTAAAGCAATTTATGAAACATATTCACATAACAAATCAGGTCCATAGCTCCCTGAAAGTGACCACACAAGTAAATAGAGTGGTAAAGAAGGCGTATGGCATGCTTGCCTTTATTGGTTGGGGAATTGAGTACAAGAGTCAGGATGTCATGTTGCAACTTTATAAGACTTTTGGTTAGGCCACAGAGTATTGCATTCAATTCTGGTTTCCACATTACAGGAAGGATGTGGAGGCTTTGGAGAGGGCGCAGAAGAGGTTTTCCAGAATTTCGCCTGGATAAAAGGGTATGAGCAATAAGGAGAGGCTAGAAAAACTCAGGTTGTTTTCTCTGGAGCAGCAGAGGCTGCAGGGAGACCTGATAGAAATGTGTAAACTTATGAGAGGTGTAGATAGGGTTGACAGTCAGAAGCTTTTCCCCAGAGTTGAAATGCATAATATTAGGGGACATGCATTTAAGGTGGGGAGGGAAAACTCAAAGGAGATGTGAGGGGCAAGTTTTTTACACAGAGTGGTAGGTGTCTGTAACACACTGCTGGGCTGGTGGTGGAGGCAGATATGGTAGGAGTGTTTAAAGGACTTTTAGATAAACATGTGAAAATGCAGGGAATGGAGGGATATGGACCAAGGGCAGGCAGAAAGGATTAGTTTAACTTGGAGTCATGTCCGGCACAACATTGAAGGTCGAAGGGCCAATTTGTGTGCTGTACTGTTCTATGTTTTATGTTCTAAATCATTAAAAGAGAGACAGGAAGTTGAAAAAGTGATTGAAAAATGATTTGGGGTACTCAGATGTACACATTTTCATAAATCTGGGCACCATACTACAGGAAGGATATGACTGGGAAGGTGATGGTATCATTGGATTAATAATTGAAAGCCTGAGGTTCTGGTGACACAGACCTGATTCTCACCATACTGCATGCTGAAATTTAATTTCAATAGGGTTCTGAAGAAGGGTCACTGGATTCGAAACATTAACTCTGCTTTCTCTCCACAGATGCTGGCAGACCTGCTGAGTTTTTCCAGCTGTTTCTGATTTCCAACATTCGCAGTTCTTTCAGAGATAGTAGGAACTGCAGATGCTGGAGAATCCGAGACAACAAGGTGCAGAGCTGGATGAACACAGCAGGCCAAGCAGCATCATAGGAGCAGAAAGGCTGACATTTCGGGCCTAGACCCTTCATCAGAAAAGGGGGAGGGGAAGGGGGTTCTGAAATAAATAGGGAGAGAGGGGGAGGCGGATAGAAGATGGACAGAGGAGAGGATAGATGGAGAGGAAACAAACAAGACGAAGAGGCGGGGATGGAGCCAGTAAAGGTGAGTGTAGATGGGGAGTTAGGAAGGGGATAGGTCAGTCCAGGGAGGACGGACAGGTCAAGGGGGCGGGATGAGGTTAGTAGGTAGGAGATGGGAGTGCAGCTTGAGGTGGGAGGAGGGGATAGGTGGGAGGAAGAACAGGTTAGGGAGGCGGAGATGAGCTGGACTGGTTTTGGGATGCGGTAGGGGGAGGGGAGATTTTGAAGCTTGTGAAATCCACATTGATACCATTGGGCTGCAGGGTTCCCAAGCAGAATATGAGTTGCTATTCCTGCAACCTTCGGGTGGCATCGTTGTGGCACTGTAGGAGGCCCAGGATGGACATGTCGTCTGAGGAATGGGAGGGGGAGTTGAAATGGTTCGCGACTGGGAGGTGCAGTTGTTTATTGCGAGCCGAGCATAGGTGTTCTGCAAAGCAGTCCCCGAGCCTCCGCTTGGTTTCCCCAATGTAGAGGAGGCCACAACGGGTACAGCGGATGCAGTATACCACATTGGCAAATGTGCAGGTAAACATCTGCTTGATGTGGAAAGTCTTCTTGGGGCCTGGGATGGGGGTGAGGGAGGAGGTATGGGGGCAGGTGTAGCACTTCCTGCGGTTGCAGGGAAAAGTGTCGGGTGTGGTGGGGCTGGAGGGGAGTGTGGAGCGGACAAGGGAGTCACGGAGAGAGTGGTCCCTCCGGAAAGCAGATAAGGGTGGGGAGGGAAAGATGTCTTTGGTGGTGGGGTCGGATTGCAGATGGCGGAAGTGTCGGAGGATGATGCGTTGGATCCGGAGGTTGGTGGGGTAGTACGTGAGGACGAGGGAAATTCTTTTTTAGTTCTTATTGCGTGGACGGGGTGTGAGGGATGAGTTGCAGGAGATGTGGGAGACACGGTTGAGGGCGTTCTCGACCACTGAGGAGGGGAAGTTACGGTCCTTGAAAAACGAGGACAACTGAGATGTACGGGAGTGGAATGCCTCATCCTGGGAGCAGATGCGGCGGAGGTGAAGGAATTGGGAATAGGGGATGGCATTTTTGCAGGAAGATGGGTGGGAGGAGGAGTATTCTAGGTAGCTGTGGGAGTCGGTGGGCTTGAAATGAATATCGGTTTCTAGGTGGTTGCCGGAGATGGAGACAGAGAGGTCCAGGAATAAGAGAGAGGTATTAGAGATGGTCCAGGTGAACTTAAGGTTGGGGTGGAAGGTGTTGGTGAAGTGGATGAACTATTCGAGCTCCTCGTGGGAGCACGAGGCGGCGCCGATACAGTCATCAATGTAACGGAGGAAGAGGTGGGGTTTAGGGCCAGTGTAGGTACGGAAGAGGGATTGTTCCAATTAACCTACAAAGAGGCAGGCGTAGCTTGGGCCCATGCGGGTACCCATGGCCACCACCTTTGTCTGTAGGAAGTGGGAGGAATTGAAAGAGAAGTTGTTGAGGTGAGGACGAGTTCGGCTAAGCGGATGAGGGTGTCAGTGGAGGGGGACTGTTCGGGCCTGCGGGACAGGAAGAAGCGGAGGGCCTTTAGGCCATCTGTATGGGGAATGCAAGTGTAGAGGGACTGGACGTCCATGGTAAAGATGAGGTTTTTGGGGACCGGGGAATTGGAAGTTCTGGAGGAGGTGGAGTGCGTGGGTGGTGTCACGGACATAGGTAGGGAGTTCCTGGACCAAGGGGGAGAAAATGGAGTCCAGATAGTTGGAGATCAGTTCGGTGGGGCAGGAGCAGGTGGAGACAATGGGTCGACCAGGGCATTCAGGTTTGTGGATTTTGGGAAGGAGAT